ATGAATTAATGCTTATACATKGGTAACTTAAGATTTCAAAAATACATGTATCAAATTGAATCATTGATATACATATTAAGTGATTGGAAATATTAGCTGAACATTTCAATTACAATAAAATGAGTGTGTTTTGACTGTCATTGCCATGAGACAATKCTTGTGGTCACATTTCTACAAGCCACTCTTTATTTTCAGTATCATGCATTTATTGTTCTATATAGTCCAACACCACTTGAAAGTTGTAACCTTCCATTGACAAATAAATGTTTTTTAATACCCTTTGCTCGTATGGCAAATTACTGGCAAGTTGTGACTGATATTATTCATAAAAATTATAGACACTTTCTCATGGCATTCAATGTACTAAATGTTTTCATAAAAAAWAAATATAAATTTCAAATAAATAATAAAACATATATACCTATCTCTTTATGATAAATTATGAACAGTTAATTATTCTTATTTACGCTAATGTATTATGTAGAATCAAAAATGTATAAATACATAATAATTGGTTATTGTCCAATTATATTACATAATTAGTATCATAGATTAGAATAGTAACTGGTTAGTATGTTATTTAAATATAGATTAACAGATTTAATGTCTGATCTATTTTATGGTGACTCTCATTATCTTAGATAAAATAATCCATAAAATGCTAGTTAAAATACATAAAATAACTGCTATCCACCCCATATTTACACTCCAGCCTAATGAGTATATTCTAGCAGTCAGTAACTGTTCCCAAAACTGCATTGTTTGACACATATTTCCACCAGCATTGATCATACCATCTATAAGTGCTAGTGTTTGATAGCAATTATTCTGGCTATAAGTTTTTCTTGAATGATGTTTATTGTGCATTATTCCCAAGGTAAACAAACCAAAAGTTGCTATAAAATAACAATAATAATGATTTTACATCATATACTAGGTTATTACTTGTTTCAAAAAAGTTAAAAGTACCTATTTGAGAACATTTTTTTATTATTATAAAGTGTTCCTTTATTATGTTTAGATTTAAATTTTATGGTAAATTTAGGTTTGACAGATAACTGCTCATACTCTGTCATATTCAAATGTTTATTGCATAGTTTGACATCTTATAAACAAGAAATTGTGCATCATAGGATAAACAATCTATTATGGTTAATCTAAAATAAAAAATTATTAGGTGTTAAAGTAAATATTGCATCAATGAGTAACATCAATCATAACATTTTGTGTTTTTCGATAATGTTGTATACCTGAGTACTTCAAAATTATTTTGATTATTTTTTTGTTTCAGCATTGTCTAAAACTTTATTTATATTTAAAAAAAAAAACTATTAACTATTTTCACTTAAATTGTAGTGAATTTTGGTTTATAATGTTATAATTTTGGTTGTATCTAAGTAGACGCATATTTAAAAAGAATTTGACTGAAAAAATAATCAAACAAATTTCAGGTTTCTATATTTCAGAATTACCATAATAGATTGCTTATTCTAATATTCACTATATATGATTTGTAAAATTAAAATTACAATCATCATTTGCAGTATGACAGAACTTTTTAGTATATCTATCCTAAAATTTACCAATATTCATACTTAAATCATAAATCATGTTCATTCTTAGGATTCTTGTATATTATTTAATATTTTATAACTTAATTTTCATATAAAATGTATAAGCTAGATATTAACAATTAACTAATAATTACCTGCTAGTAAATACATCACCGCAGTAATTAACATAGCACTTATTTGATGACGAAAAATAGAAAAAAGTCCAATCAATGTTGCAGTAATGACTATTATAATGCATACCAATGCACATGATATTGACATATTTTGCATTCCTTAAACATAATAGGTAATTAAAAAAWTATTACATAACAGTTTGATAGGTAATTGAAATTATTATAGAATATTATTTTTTAATGAATTTATCTTTGTTTCTATTACTGTTTAAAAAAAAAAAAAATATTAGATAGCCTACATATTATTTAATGTTAAGAACTATTCTTAATGAATTATGATGTATTATTTAAATTCTATTTGGTAACTGAATCAAAATTCTCAATAACCTTTGTATAGAAAAAAATTATTGTAGCATTCAAACAACCATCTTTCATTTTTAAGTTTAATAAATTGATTTATTTCTTATTTTTTCAGGTAAAACTTATAAATAAAACAAATATTTTAAGACARTTTTAGTTAATATGTGTTGATGATAATAATCTGGCTATCAATATTGAATCATAATAAATAAAAAATTTAACTTATGTAATCAAAAAGACAAATTTGTCAATATGGCATATATAATATAATATACCTATAATAACTATTAAAATATATTAGAATATTTAAAGTCAATATGCAATCGTAATATTAAACTCTAAATAGTATGAACTGAATAAATTTAATTTCTTTTACGTAGCCGGTTTAAAAAAACATGACATCAAATTATCCATTTATGAATCAACAATTTTTTTTTTCTTAAGTTACATTACAGTTACAAAACTGTTTTAATTATCAAAGCAGAGTTTTACTTAAGTAGTATTAAATAATACTTTACTATTAAATAATTTAATCTAGAAAATAATGATAGTATGACTATTGTATGTTAACTGTATTTCACATATAAATAGACATATGGGCCTCCAACCATGATTATGCTACTTACTGCTCAGGATTTACGTAATATATTTTACTTTTATTTACAAAAATTAACAGATATGAAAAGGTAACTGATAAGAAAGTGCCAAATGGGTTTTGCCTTGATATAGGTATTAAGTGGATCACTAATGGTTGTGTTAAATTTGAATTCAATGGTACACCACTATAAACCAAAAAGGAATATGATTTATATATTTTTATATTGCAATTAAACTATTAAAGGTATTTGGTTTACTACTAGTATTACACGGTTGATTATATATCACATTATGTTATTATTATTATATTGTATTTTTAGTCAATACCTATAAAGAGGTATTTAAATACATTAAATTCAATCAAAATGTCATTGTGTACTGTAAGATGTCTAACATTCTTATATTCTTTAATTATTGAGCTGTAATAGTATTTTTACTCAAAACTGATAAAAAAAAAATTTACATATTTGAATATTATGTCACAAATAATGTTTTTGAATTACAACAAAATTACTTAGATAAATTGTTTGAAATTGGACATTTTTAAGTGAAAAATGTATTTTTAAGTTATTGCAATTTTGAAAATTTAGCTGAAAAATGTTAACACAAACATTTGATGGAAATTTCAAGTTCTATATTAAAAAGTGAATTACACAAAAAATAAATTATTTTATTAAAAACAGGTTTTACGAAAAAATTATGGTTTTCCATTAGTTGTTTACTTTTGACCCTCCCCCAATTCTAGTACCAATTAGATTAATTTTCCTACTGCTGAGTAGCGGTATGTTATAGCACAAAAATTCTTGTGCTGGAATTAAAAAGCATTTTTTCTACTCTTTGTAATTGTACAACAATACATTCATCACAACGCTTAGAATCTAAATTAGTACCTATATTGAGTACATCCCGCATGTGTTGTCTCTGTCTTACAATAGCGTAATAGAAATTTACGCTCAGGCTCAGCAGATTTAGTTTAGCTCCGTTAGTTTAAAAATTATAGTAAATTTTGACCTCTTATAAAATTTGAAGGTAAGAACGTTATCTGCGTTCGTATATTTGGTTTTTATGATAGTTCAATTTTTTTGCAAGTTTTGCATATACAAAATATAGCGTAAACATGCACTTAAACACTGTTTTTGCCTTTCAATTTTATAAGAAATAAATTCACTTCAAATTTTTATTAACGGAGCTAAACTTGATCTACTGAGCGTAAACTTACTATGTTACGCACTTATAAGGTGCCTACATACTGGTGTGGCGTCCTCTTAAACGTACAACAAAAAGTAAATTTTCGTTTTATGGTTTTAATAATGTGCTCTAAGTTTTGATTTTAAAGTGAATTAGCTTATCATGAAAATTCAGTTGAGAAAATTATTTGTGTTCTCTCATTAGCATTTTACGATTTAATAATGTTAAAGTGAATTATGAACATTTTCAAATATTAATGTTGTACGTATGAAGATTTGCAAATAATTTTATATCTATTTTTTGGTTTTTTAAATCTTCAATTTGTAAATCTTTATTTCAAATTATATTTAAGATTCGTCATTAGTTGTTTAATGTTTATACAATCATACTATAATAAAAAATCTAATAAACTATTCAAAAATTCTTTTTTATTGACATTTGAAAATAAACTTTGACGAAATTAAATATTTTGAAGAAGAAAAGCAATTTTAGTTATTTTGTTKTAATTTAAAAATATTATTCTGGGAAATTAACGTATATTTTTAAATTTTATACACACATTTGGTGAAGCAATATTTTGACAAAAATTAGTCCAGACTACAGTCTATTGCTAATTATTGTAAAATAAATTAGTAAATTACCTTTCAGGAGACGTTACACTAACATTTTTTGTCTCAGTCACTTATAAGAAGTGCGTAACAAATTTTACACTCAGCGGATCACGATTGGCTCCGTTGATAAAATGTATTTAMAAATATAGTATGACAAACCGTCTGTTATAAAAATCTTTTCGTATGCGATAATTTTATATTATTGGATTTTAATTTAACACATATCTTTGAGTGATTTATACTTTAGAGACAAAGTTCACTCAATACCCAAATTCCAGTTGAGTGACTACTTACTAATATGTTCAATAGGTACTCAAAAGTAGTGATTGAAATTAATGTTTAATATATTGTCTAAATCTTAAATATGTAAAATTATTAAATTTGGTCCTAAAAACCGCAAAAATTATTTGAAATATTATACGATTATTAATGTGTAAAATTAAAATTAATTTATAAAAATATGAGCTAAACAACAATTTCATGTATAGTTTGTTTGCGTGATTAAATGTACAAGAATACCAATTAAAGCATGATATTTATTTATAAACATAATATAATAAATACGTATATATATTATATTGTATGTAGGTTAGGTATAAGTCTAAGAGTAATAATAGCGTGACTAATTTACTTTACTATTTTATTCATTTAACGATTTTTTTTTTTTGTATAAAGCAATATAATAAATTCAAAATTGTATTAAGTTATACATATTATTATTATTTTTAGGGTTGTGAATACCCTATAAATCTCTAAAAATGTAAATAATTTACTTAGAAATTCACTTAATTTTTTATTTTATTCATAGTTTAACCAAAAAAATAAAATTTAATTAAAAAATTACAAGGCTGAAACGTTTCTATTTTTTTACGTAAACTATCTGAAAAAGGAATTATTGTTCAACTTTCTSTTGTCGTTCTTGATTTTTACATCGTACAGATCCGTTGGAAAAATAACAAATTGGAGGATGCTAAACACGCATGTGTTATCTCCTTTTTACAAACGTACACGGCAAAATTGTTTTGTGCGTTTTTATTTTTTAGACCTCAATATTCAAAAAAGTTCTTATTATATCTAAGTTAATTTCAAACTTGAATACATTTTTTTGTTATAGCAGTACAAAATTTTAATATTAATCCTTGTAGTGTTAAATTTCCTAAAAGAGCTAAAACCCTTTAAATGCTTAAAAAGATGACCTAAACATAATATAATATCAAAAAAAAAGAGGGTAAGTCGTGGATGTCGCTCTGCTGTACAGTAGGTTACAAGTGGGTTACTGTAATGAATGGAATTAAATTTGAATCCAATAATATTATATCATTGTATGCGAAAAACGATTCTGAGCGGAAACGGTTTATCTGTTTAGGATATAATAATATATCTATAAAGATTATCAAATATTTTAAAATCTTAGATTTTAAAAGAAAAACTTTTATGAATTTCTATCTAAGATAATTTGAACATTGCCATAATTTTTTACGTATTTAGTCGAAATTTGAACTTTAAATGCTTATAAAAGAAAATCGTGGCTATATGCGTTTTTAATATTTTTTAACTGCTGTCGTAGCAATGTGTAAAAATGTCTCTGTAAACACCTCAAAACTAATCAAAATATTTGAAAAATCTTATCAAATATAGAAAATGCCTCTATATAAACATTCAGTGAAAATTTCAAGTATATCTGCGGTTATTTGTTTTAGAGTTATACCAAAATAAGAATCGCTAAATAAGAAATCTATTGAAAATCCAATGTTGTAAAAATTTAAATTTCAAATGCTCGTGAAAATTTATTTTAAATTTCAGGTGGACATTTTTTTGTGATAAAGATTGACACTTCTTGGATTTAAAAAGATAATTTTTATGAATTTCTAGCTTAAAATGATTTGTGAATTTTCGTGATTTTTACGCATTTTGTTAAAATTCAAACTTTAAATGCTTATAAAAAAAATTGTGACCAAATTTATTTTATTTTTCAACTGCTATTGTTACAATATGTTAGGAGCTTTGTATTAAATTCCCAAGCTTTTTTACCCAAAAAATCGATTTTTATCGATATTAATTTAAAAAAATAAATAATCGTAAATTGCAGATGCCTATAAATATTTCAACTTACGTCGAAATTTTTCTGAAAATTGCATGGTGGATAGAATATACTTCAAAYATTCAGTGAAAATTTCATGTATCTATGGTCATTTATTTTAAAGTTAATTCAAAAACCATAATCCATTTTGTCGAAAACTGATTGTGCATAAAATTTCCCGTTTTTCTCTTAATTTTAAATTTATTTATCCCGATTATTTAGAAATGAGTTTTACTTTTGACCCCCTAAGTACCAACTAGATTCACTTTCTGATCGAACAAGGTACTGATGTCGAAAATCGAAGCACTTTTACTGTCCCAAAACGTGATGACTGACACAAAAAAAAAAAAAATTAAAAAAAGGCATCATGGTAAAATCAATACATTCTTCACCCCGCTCAGAATCTAAAAATTCGATTAAAACTTATTATTATCATTTTAAAATACATAAAACATATTTTGTATAAAATAAGCATCGTTAGGTAGCCCTAAATATTATTTATTGTATGGCTCAAGATTAGATAATAATGTAGTTAATTCACTTAAAATGTGATAACTAGTATTCCGTCATATTATTATTATACTTACTATGATGCCAGTCTGGTTTGAAATACTCTTCTTCTGGGGGTTCTTCAGCTAAATAATTCACACACTTGGGTAGCACCGTTCGCATTTTATTATTTATTTCTTGGTACAATTGTATTAACTGATCTTCTGAAAATTAATAAATTATACATTCTGAGACATTTTTAGATTTATAATTTTGAATTTAAATGATTAATTTATTGACTTTATTTTGTGTTGCATATTTTTAATATACTATTTACAAAACTTTTATAATTTGAATGCATCACACCGTAATTAAAAAAATCTGAAATAAAAATGTTACAAAATATATTTGTATTATTATATATATTTACTTTGCGGCAGACATTCAACTGTAATTCATACGTCTTAAACTAGCATTAAAATAATTATTTTACCCATAAAAATGAAAAACTTAATTGATACTAACATTTTTATTTTAAATTTCTGATTTTAAGTACCTAAAGTGATCTAAATAGTTAAATGTATTGATGTTGCAGTGAGGTAGCATATTTTTTTCAGAAAAATAAATTTATCAAATGGTTAACTCTTGGTCTGCATTTAAATCTATTATATTTACACTGCGAATATCATGCAGCGTAATTGCTTCATAATTATGATTAATTATATTAATTTATTATATTATATTAATATATACTATAATATAATAAACTGCATAATTTCTATTAATATTAACTCGTAATAATGAAATAATGCTATAATAGCCATCCAGATTTATTTCATTATTACAATAATTGTATTTTTTCGGTTTAACAAGTAATAAAATATATAAATTGTTTAAAATCCCCGATATTCTAAAACCTTATTAAGAAATAATAAAAAGGATTGTATACAAATCCATTAGGTGGCGCCATTCTGTCCTGTCCTAAGTTCCATTCCTCGTTTGTTTTAATRCTTAAAATGTATACGTACGTGTTGTAGTTGGAATTGTTAAAAGTACCTGTTAGAGAGATACATAAAGTCCAAATTCCACTGTACATTGGTACAAGTATAACTGTTGTTTCTCCCGTTTGATATAATAGTGGTTGTATGTCGTAAAAATCTGTTTGGTGGTATTGATTTACTGTAGCCAAATCTAATAAGGCATCTCCATTATTTGCTGGTGATGGTTTTATATCATTAATTGTAATTTTTAATGCATTTCCATTTACTAGCCATTCAGTATTTACGTTATTAAACCATTTGGACGATGTATTCTGTGTTTTCAAAACTGATATTGCCTTAAAAAATATACATTTATATTTTATCGTAGGTACATTTTTCTAAATTAGTTTTTGTTGAGTTCTCAAAACCTTACTTCTTGAAAATCCCATTCTATATTTTCCCAATGATTGGTCCAAATAGATGTGCATAACATAAGTGTTGTACATGATGAAAGTATGAGCGTAACCGTGAGGAAAAGTGTAAGTGGTTGTATCAATAAACTCTGCGATTCCGTTGGCCAATAGTGAACCGTCACAGTATCCATGTTCTATATA